AATATGACTTCTAAAAATTCCAATTATTCACGAATTATATTTCTTAGAATCGCAAAAAAAAGTTTTTTAGCAATTTTCAATACAAAATCATTTCTTTGAGTTTCTATCAACTGCTTCATTAAATTTCTATCAACAAAAAGAAGAAATGAAGTTAAATATTCGGTACATCGTACTGTAGCATACTGTAAGTATACTGTAGATATGAATGAGTGCGAACGAGGTGAACATAAATGTGATCGTAATGCTATCTGTATCAATCTGGATGGTACATTTGAATGTCGATGTGCTGATGGATACGAAGGAGATGGACATCTTTGTCGAAGTAAACATTTTACCATCTTTTTCTTACATCTGTAATTAAATACCGGCTAATTCTAATTCTAATTCTAATTCTAATTATACTTATACTGATCGTTTTCCATTACATTATGAATTTTTTACATGATTATAACCAGTTAAGTAAATAGGTCTTGCATTCATACATTTTCTAATTCGATTTTACAAAAACAATATATTTGCTTTGTTGATGTGTATTTATAAGTGACTTTCTATTTATCTCTTACGACAAAAATTATTTTATTGAAGTTTTTAAAATTACACTTAATGAATTTCTAAATTTTCTTAAAATCTAAAAGACAAAAAATGAGCATTTTAAGCTCTCTTTTATCTAATCGAATCAAATGAAATTGAATGTTTTGCAAATGATGCATATTCAGTTCTTTTCCCGCATAAAATATTCTGTAACATGCTCTAGTTAAAAACTAAAGATTATTTAATTTTTAATCTATTCTTACTTTAACTAAACTATTTTAGTAGTTTATGAAATTTTTAAACTTAAAATTATATAATAGTTCTTAAGGTTTTGGTAACAAAAAAGATTTTATCAGGAACTGGAGGTAATGATGAAATTTATGAGAAGCGACCGGTAAGTGGAAGCGGTTGTTTTGATCATCGAGAGTGTCATCAATGGGGAGAATGTGTTTTTGGAAAGAACGGAGAACCAGGTTATTGTAAGTGTCGTGGCTGGTACACAGGTGATGGTGTACATCACTGCGGACCACCGACAGGTTATTTTATATATTTTGATAACGATTACTGGAACGGTGTTATTCATAACATTACTTATGTTTTACAATTATAATAACAATGAATTTCAAATAGATACTGTAAAGATATTATGAAAAAAATTTTTAGAGACAGAAATTAAGCAGGTGGTAATTGATGATCCTCATCGAGAACAGATAGGACAAACATGCGGAGGTTACAAATGTGATACAAATGCTTTCTGTAACACTTCATCAGGACACGTAAGTTCATATTTTCTTAATTTCAAGGTTAATCAAAAATTTAATTGATGGATCACGTATAGTGTTTGCTCATGTTTTCAATTTATTTGAAGATAAAAAAGCTTCTTTTCTCGAAAAAAATATATATTTATAACTGCATTTCATAAGAATAAACGCTACACAATTTTCATGATGCATTTTCATCAAAGTATTAAGTAAATAGTAATTCTAAAATACGGGTAACGATGAAAATACTTTCTTTTTCTTTCACCGCCCAATTTAAATTTTATCCCTTTCATTGTTTCCAGGAGCAATGCACATGTCAAAATGGTTACTATGGAAATGGAATTATTTGTGTTCCGCATTTTAGTGATCAACGAAAGATGAACATTGTTACAGGAGTTGTTGGTAGTGTTGGTGATGGCATCGGTTTGAAAATTTTTTTAACCTTTTAGTGATATTATTTATGATTGTGCACTATTTCAGTTTAAAAAATTAATTTTTTCGTAAAAAATCAATATTCGACCGAAACTGATTGGGTTAGATTATGCAAAAAGCGAAACTTTTTTTTTAGGTGAAAAGCAACGAAAAGTATATATGATAAAGTGTTGCATTAAATTGGTACATTAGCAAAATGGAATAGCAATAATTGAAGTTTAGTAAAATTTTAAATTAAAATTAATTTCAAATTATCTACAGGAAAAGTTTGCCGTTCACATGAAGAATGTGGTGAGCATGGTAATTGTGTGTACAGTAATGAATTTAGCGCTTACCGTTGTATTTGTGTGCCACCGTATTTTAATGATGGAATGAAATGTGTGGAATCAAAAGGAAATAATAGTAAGAAATAAAAATTTAGCAAAAAAGAACTTTATAGGCAAAAGTTGAAGATCACAAAATCTAAATTAAAACATTATTCGGATATCAATCTATTCCAATTAGTCTTCGTCTATCTGTCACTGACCTTTAGTATTCAATAACATAACAGATCATTTATGAACAACTTAATTTAAATAATTAAAGAAATCTAGTGGATCAATTTTCTTCATCTCTCTTCCATAAAATATTATAAACTTTTTAATCTTTCTTTTTTAATAATAACGCATTTAAAAAAGATATCAACAAATGATTTTTCTAAACTTTTTTTTTACTATCCTGCTTCTCCTACTTGTTTCTTTTGCAGATTCTAGCAATGAATTTCTAGAAGGAGTACCATGCAATGTGGTTAATAATTGTAATACTAATGCTGATTGCATCTTTGAAAAGAATGATCGTGATGAAAGTGTATATCGTTGTCGCTGTCGTCCAGGATTCTCGGGAGATGGTTATCGATGTACGATGACTTCACTGGATAATCTTCCTGCATGTACGCTGCTTAAATTCCTATGCTTCTTCCAATGCTTGCATGCAAAATTGACCCCAAAAAGAGAATAGTATAAAATGTTAATTAGGTATATAAATCTATTCTTCAAATTTATCACCTTTGCTTCAACAATATATTATTATTTCGATGGAGCGTATAATTTGTTAAAATTATCGCATATAATTTAAATTAGTAAATTTAAACTATATTTGATAATTTTAACAAAAAAAAAAGAAATTTTTTTTCAAACATTATTTTTTATCAAAAAAAAAATTTAAAGAAAAACGAAAAATTCATTTATGCTAATAATCTTATTAGTATATTTATCAGTTATATGATAAAAATTAAGTGATTTAATTTAGCACTAAACTGCTTTAGCTGAATATTTCTTTTTTTTGTGAAAAAAAAAAAAGAAAAAGAATTGTTTAATGGCGACATTGAGGATGCGATTGATCAGTAAGTAAGTGGTTGGCGGATTTATTGCAGATGCTGTGTTAGGATGTGATCAGTTGGGTAATTGTGATTTAAATGCGGTATGTGTATTGGATGCATATACCCATCGTCATTACTGTCGATGTTTGGATGGTTTTGATGGTGATGGATATGTGTGTGAAAGTGTACCACAAAATACCATTCTACCATCTTTGCTTCCGGGTAGCTTCCTCCAAATGCTTTTTCCTTATTTTTTTCTCTTCTTTCTTTTACTTTATTTTTTTTTTTTGCTACTCGTACAATAAATTCCGCTTGTTTAAATTAAATATTTGCAAATTTTGATTTAATAACTTCATCGTTTCTTTAGCTTATCAAATCCGGAAAAATCATTTTTTAGTATTAAAAAAAAAATGAAATGACAAGCGAGCATTTTTCTTTCCCTTCTCTGTCCAATTTCTCGTTATTTTTCTTTTTTTTTTTTTACGAAATTGGCTTCCATTCTAATTTGGCATAATTTAATAATGCTAAAAAGTAAGAGAAGAATAATTGTAATTGGATAAATTATTAATTGACGAGTTATTTTATCTGAAATATGATCAATAATTGTTGAAATTATCAGGAAATTTTTTTTTTTCAACAATCAATATAAAATTTGCAAATTGAAATTTTTATGACAGAAACAATAGACGGTAAAATTTGCCGCGAAGCAAGTGACTGTCATCAAAATGCGCATTGTGTTGTTCGTGAAAATTCGTTGGACTATTTCTGCGAATGTTTACCCGGCTATCGTGGTGATGGCGTTACACGATGTACTGCTGCAGGTTTGATTTATTTTAAAAATGAGTGGACATTGGTCACTTCGAATTCCATTCGGATACATAAATTGTTATCCTGGCATATTTCTGTAAGATTATGATCAGCCAAGGGATTTAAAATTTAAGTCCATAAAAAAAAGATATTCACAAATAGAAGTTTTCTAATTGCTTTAATTATTTTAATTGCTTTTATTCTTACGAGATATTAAATATTTATTAACTTAAAAAAAATACTTCAAGTTATCAGAATTAATTAATGGATTAATTTTTTGGATTTCATACAAATAATATTATTTTGCTATACATCTTTTTATCTTTTTAGTTATTCTTTGAAGTAATTGATGAATTAATTAATTGAGGGAGAGAGAGAGACAGAGAAGTTGTATTTTTGTATTATTTCATAGCTTATCAATTTCATTTCTAAATTACTAAATACCTTTCTTCCAGTGGAATTTGAAATAAATTGTAGATGATTGCACACCTGGTGATGAACATGCATGCCATGAGAATGCTGCTTGTGTATTTGGTGAAACTGAAAGAGCATATACCTGTAAATGTGCACAAGGTAATTTCTTTTTTTTTCTTAAGAAATCACTTAAATTTTAATTTTTAAAATTTGAACTTCTTTTTTTCTATCTAAGAATTACTAGTAAAAATTTGAAGGTTTTATTGGTAATGGACGAGAATGTGTAGCGCAACATGCAGTAGTATGCAATGAACAACCGGGAATTTGTCATCAAAATGCGGAATGTGTTTATAGCAGAGATGAGGGACGACATAAATGTGTTTGTAAACATGGCACTGTTGGTGATGGATATGAAGATTGTCGTGAAGAAGGTTGGTTGTCTTTTGATATGGAGGTTGAAAAGGGTTAAAAAGTTAATGCAGAAAAAAGTGAAACAAATGTAGCATGGGATAAAATGAAAAATTTAAGATTAAATGAAGCATAACATTTAAAATATTTAACAATCCAAAAACTTTTAATCTTAAATGTTAATCATCCTGAAAATAACTACGTGTAAATACTTTTTTAATCTCAAGTAATTATGTAATCAGAAAACTTTTCGTTATCATTGTTTTAGATTTTCATTTAAAAATGAAAAATTGATTCGACTTTTCGTATTCTTAAATGTTAAATAGTCTTAATTTCACCGTATCACTTCTATTTCTCTCTTTAATTTCATAGTTCTAATTTATTATTATCATTATTGTTCATATCATTTATTAAATTTATTAGCCAAGTTCAACTGAATGTAAACTTTGGGCCAGAATAATATTTATAGCCTATTAAATGTCATTCAGTAGGTTAAACTTTTTTTTCGAAATTAACCTCTTTTTGCACTTTGTGTACTGTTACTTTAGTTGAATTGCACCGTTGCGGTGAATGTTCATCGCATGCACGATGCGTGCACATTGAAATGGATAATTCGTGGAGATGTCGTTGCATGCAAGGATACATAGGCAATGGATATTTGTGCACATTATACAGTTTGTTTATTAATTCGTGCACTTTTATTGAATTTTGCATTTTTTCACTTATTTTCCTACACTGTGATGCTATTTTTGCCACCATAAATGGATAGAATTGCAAATTATAGGATAGTCAATAACTTTTTTTTATTATATTTATTTAATTAGAATTATTGGAATGAGGAAAAAATATCATCAGGTATGTGAGAGAGAGAGAGAGAGAGAGAGAG